TACATGCCCAGGTTTCAGGCTCAATTCCCAGTGTGGGGTGTGCAGGAGGCAGCTGGTCAATTATTCTCTCTCAACATTGATGTTCTCTCTCTCTCTCTCTCTCTCTCTCTCTCTCTCTCTCTCTCTCTTATTTCCTCTCTGAAATCAATAAAAAAATATATATTTTTTTAAAGATGGAACATCAGAAGCAAAGATGGGATTGAGGAAGGTGTGTTGATACGAGAGGAAAGATCCCAGTAGGCTGGGTGGCTAGTTTTCAGAGACAGTGAAAAGTAAACTTCGACTCCGACGGTAAGAAGATTAAAGGAGAGCAGCAGATGGAACATTTTTTAGTGGGAGATGGGTTGCCCATGAGGGTTTGCAGCAATGCAGGGTCCAACCAAGAGTTTGGGAAGTGGGGCGAGGAGGAGACACCTCAGGAGGCTTTTAGGTGGTGGTGAGAAGAACGGAAGCTGGAGCAGAAGCACCTGGAGTAGAAGCCATTCTTCCTAGATATCCCTTTCCCCCTAATCTTTGTGACATTTGAGGCTAATCTGCATTTGGTTCCCAGAACTTCTGGCCTCATTTTTGGCATGTTTATTAACTCCTTTTGCATTTTGGTTCTGCAGGAAGTAGCTCCTTCATTCATCAAGTGCTTGTGGAGCTCCCCTGTCAAAGGACTCAATCCACACAAGCTGCTAGCTAACTGTCCTTAAAGGGGATGGAGGTGGGGATGATGCTGATCCTCTGACAGAACTGAGCCTCACCACACTCTCCCCGAACCCCGCACTTCCTGAACCTGACAGGCCCTCCCTCACCACATCAGCCAGTTCTTCAGGCCACTTCTCACCCCACACCTCTTCATCCACTAAGTTCCCCTTTTCTTCTGAAGAGGGGAGACGGAGTAAGGACATGGCCTTTGGCTCTTCCAGGGAAACTTGGCAAATATAAGAGTGTGGCAAAAGAACTGTGGTAGAAAGAGTCCCTGAGAAGATGAAAGGTACAGAAGCAAAGGTGGAAACTGGGACAGAAAAATCTTTGAAAATGGGTTCATGTAACCAATGTCTATTGAATATTGTTGATGTATGTGGTAGATTCTGTCAGATATAAAAATAGGTTGTCATTCATGCCCTTAATTAATTAATGCTTTGAAAAGGGGAGGAAGGAGGGGAAGACGTAGAAATAGAGGCTGAAAAAGAAAGAGAAAAGAACAAACACTGAGCCCAGAGACCGGAAGCATCAGGCCAAAGTCAAGAGTTGGGGAGAGTGCAGGGCAGTGTGGAAGAAAAACCTGTTTCCTCTTCCTTGATTCTACTCATACGCAAGACCTCAAATGCTTCAAGCCACCCTCTTCCCAAGGAAATGGAGCCAGAGCTGTTCCTGTGCCACTGATTGCATCCCACAAACAGATTCTGAGCACTCCAAAGTACCGGGCACTTATGCTCTTAAGCTCTGCCGAGAAGAATCAGAGTTGATTGTCACCTAAGGTGGTCGATCTTGACAGTGCCCTTTGATGCCTTAAAAACTTAATCAGACATATTGAGTGCCTTACGACTTATGGGGTGAGAGGGTTCAAAGTAAAGGGGAGAAATTCTGTACATTCTTGAACCAGGTGGGGGTAATCATTCTTTTCTCACTGGGCTTTGTTAAAAAATAAATCAAGTAAGGAGGTGAAGCTACCTAGAACAGTGTCCAAGACACAGTAGGCATTTAATAAAACCATCTGAACATTATGTTCTTTCACTCCATTTTGACATGACTGATTCCCTTCACTAAATTTAGCTGGGTATATTTGTTTGTTTGTTTTTGTTTTTTAATTGAAATCATTGCCTGCTGGGTTGGAGTTATTAAGCCAGGGGTCCCCACCAGTACCCAGAGCCCAACTAAGAAATAATTTGTTTAGAAGCTACCTGAAGAACCATGCTATGGCAAATCAATTGATACGCTTGGTTGTGAGTGACAGAACCCAGCTCCGGCTACTTTAAGCAGAATAGAAATCTATCAGAAAGATTTCAGGAAGCTCAGAAAAATCAGTAAGAAGACTGGAGACTGAGATTTGGGAAATGGACAGGAACCGAGTGGCTGAGAAATGGAAGATGCAGTTCCTCGTGTTACTGCAACAGTCTGGTTAGGCCACTGCCTGAGTGGCTGTCATTATCCCACTGGACATGGCAACTGTCCTCTCCATTCTGCCTCCTCTAGACAGTCAATGCTATTGATTTGGATTCAGTGCTCCTAGAGGCTCCCATAGTCTCTGCTTCGGCTCAGTCAGATTTCCAACCTGCTCCAATCTTCTCTCTCCTCTTGGAGCCTCAGCTGTCAGGGGCAGGGCAAAGGAGAATGTGACCCCTTCAGCTTAGGCAGTCAGAAGCAAGACCTGCATTATAGCTAACAGTAGGGGGATTCTGATGATAGGCAGATAAAAGTAAAAATCACTAGGATTCCAATATAATCATTTTGTATAAATAAACAATAACACAAAAGCCTCATATGAATGAGTGTAGTTTATATGATCATGGTGAACATAGAAAAAGGGATAGAGCCTAAATTCGATTTCAGTCAAGGGCACATGCTCAAGTTGCAGGCTCAGTCCCCAGTAGGGGATGTGCAGGAGGCAGCCCATCAATGATTCTCTCTCATCGTTGATCTTTCTATCTCTCCCTCTCCCTTCCTCTCTGAAATCAATAAAAATATTTTTTAAAAAATAAGGGATAATAGTTAAAAGGCAGGTTGTTAACACAGATTATATCAGGAGATTAGGTGGGAAATTAAAAAGATGGGTAAGATCATAATGTTTTTCTTTATGTGTCTTTGAGCTCTTTGGGAGTTGGTATTGACTTTTATAATTTTTGAATGCCATCCTACTCACAGCTATTTAAAAAGTAGTTTAGAACTAGATTATGAAGAGCCACTAAGGACTTCTGAGCAAGGGAATGATGTGATCAGGAAAATTAAGCTGGTAAAATAATGTATAATGGAGGCAAGAAAGGTTGAAGATGTGCAGAACAATTAGAAGATTCTTATTGCAGCAGCTCAGCTAGAAGCTAATAAAGAACTTAACTCTGTTAGTAATAGTATGTGAAGTGAGGGAGAGGAGAGGGCACCAGGTAAGAGTCTTGGGACAAATAGCATGAATGGTGGGAGGAGTGGCCATTGGGGAAGGACAGGTTCCATTATACTGTGTCAATCAGCACAACTTACACTTTGAAAATGTGACTAAATGGCTGGAAACCCATTGACATTTCTCTTCTCCAACTTCCTTGAGCATTGACTTGTTTGATAGTTACAGTATAGAGACTCAAAATAATATTTTTTCATGAGATTTGTATTATTTTCCTTGTTAAATTGAAAACACCTTGCCCTGGCCGGTGTTGCTCAGTGGTAGACTGTGGACCTGTTCACAGGTCCACACGGCTTGTACCTAGGTTTCAGACTTGATCCTTGGTCATGTGCATAGGGGAAGCAGCCGGTGGATGTTTCTCTCTAGCGCTCTCCCCCTCCCTCCCTTCCACTCTCTCTAAAAATCAATGGAGAAAATATCCTGGGGTTAGGATTTTTAAAAATTTGAAAACATTTTAGGCTGTGAAACCAGAGTGAATAGTTACTGGTAGCCCCCAAAAGCGAAGTGAACCCCAAAAGTTATTCATTCACTCAGCACAGTTGATAGTATATCTGAAAGCTGTTTTCTTTATTAATTCCTTGAAGGAATAGCCCCAGAACCTGACCTCTTCAAGCTATCATCTAGTGGAGGAGATAGACTCTGTTCAACAAGCATGTCAAACTCTCCACCCACCGGTCGCATGCCTCAGCTCTTTGGCCCGTGTTAGTCTTTGAGTTTGACACGCTTGCCATATAAGAATCCCCATGTGGTAAGTGCTCTGAGAGAGGGTTACAGGAGCCCTGACCCAGTACCAGGTAGTAAGGTGCAGGGAGTGGTGTGTAAGCTGAGTCCTGAAGAAATAGCAGCGGTGAGCCAGGTGAAGAGGACAGGGGGTCATCCAGGTAGAAGGAAAAGCACTGGCGAGATCCTGCAGTGGGAGTGGCATGGTGCGTTGGGTAAGCAGAGGCAGGCGCTCAAGTTGACTGGGAGTAGGGACAGACAAAGACAGAAAAGCCAGCTGAGGCAAATCAAGCCTCAGAGTCTGCCAGCCAGGGGCTCAGCTTGATCCTAAGAACACTGAAAACCCAGAGGCTGTTCAGCAGAAGAGGAACATGGTCTGGTGTGCTTTTTGAAAAGATCACTGAGGCTTTGGCAGAAAGCACAAAGACACAACAGGAGGAAGCTCTTTGGTCTGGTTTCCCCACCAGGCTGGGAGCTGCCCAGGGGCTGAGTTGAGCCATTTCTACTTTTCTCCTCCCTGGGCAGGTCCTCTTCCCAATGAGCAAGGCCTGAGCTGCTGGTGGAGCTGGTTAGCTGGCCTCAGACACTCCCCCCAGCAACCTTCCCCAGAGTGATGGGTTGGGATGCAAGGGATCTGAAGGGATAAGAATATGGATGGGATGGGCGTGAGGCAAGGCCAAGCTCTTCTCTCCACGCTCCAATTTCTTTATGAAACAGGGCATTCATGGTACTTACCTGGAAGAGTTGCTGTGAGGACATGATTCATACACAGTTTTAGTCTCTGGCACAAAGTGAAGGCTGGAAAAGGGTTCGTTTTTGTTTTCATTCTTCCTAAAAGACAGGTGGGGCCTGTGGGCACGGATATGTATTCCCTGCTGTCCGAGCGCCCCATCCGTGGGCCACGCAGGTCTCAGCACCCCCAAGAAACCCGAGTTTGACAACGTGTTACGTGCGAGTTTGGGCCGAAGTTGCTGGTGATTCTATTCCTGTGATTTAAATCTTAAAACAGAACCCCAGGGGAGAAAAAGGAGCTGCCCACTGCCCTCCCGCGAGAACTCGGTCTTCCGCCAGGCTTCGGGCAGTGGCCTGACAGCCCGCAGCCCCGCCGAGGGGCGGAGCCTAAGGAGCCGGGGGCGGAGCTTAACGACCTGGGGGCGGAGCCCAGGGAGCAGAGGGCGGGCCGGCGCGGCGGAGGGGCGGGGCCTCGCCGGGGGCCAGCGGAAGTGCCTCTGGGCCTTCCCGGCCCTCCGGAGCGGGGTACCCTGGCCCAGCTACTCTCCAGTTCTTCCCAGAACAATCGGCTTCTAGACCAAGTTCCGCCAGGACCCCCAAGAAGAACTGATCCGAAGAGGAGGCCCCAGGTCTGCGATCCGACTGTCTCAGGCGGTGCTTTCTGCCCCTCCCCTTCCCCTCCCTCCCTCCATTCCGCAGTCCCTGGCGCGGCCGCAGGCGCCGGGAGGTATGGGGGGCGCCGCCCAGGTAAAGACCACTAGTGAGGAGGGCGCAGGTGTGGGTGCCTCCCCGGCGGGGGAGAGAGGCTGAGACACGCGCCCGGCTTGTTTGCAAAGCGATTGTATTGACAGTGGAGCTACGGGGAGAGGGGGCAGGCGCAGACCCCTGGAGCGCCGCCGAGCAGAGGAGAGGCGCAGGGGGCGAGACTAAAGCCCCCCACAACCTTGGGGGCCGGGTCTATCCGGATCCCGCGTCTTGCGCAGGCTCCGTGGTGCCTGAGAGGCAGTGAGCTAGTTGGGTGGGGCGGTCCGGGGCCGCAGCACCGGAGGGTTACCCACACCCACCCCCCATCCACTCCCTGTGGTGACTGGGGTCTCACGGTCGCCCCGCCCGGGCGCGCACAATCTCATGTTTGCAGAATGAAAAAAATCAATAAACATCGATGCAATGGCAGAGAATACGAAACATGTTGGATTTGTTGTTATTTGCATTGGTTAAATTATTTTTATTTTATTGTTTGTTTCTTTCTTTCTTGGAAAAGGTGGCTTCGGCTTGGATCAGGGCCTGGGAGAGGGACGCCGAACGCCCCTGGGTCTCCCGGCGGCCGTCCGAGGCCGGTCCTGGTCCCCGAGCCGCGCGAACTTCCCGGAGCGGCTCTCCATCGGGGTCCGGCGCGGGCGGGGATAGTGCCGGGTGCGTTCGGCTCCGGGACACGGCTTTCCTTCGCGCCTCATTGTGCTCACTTTAGGGAGAAGCCAGCCCCCCTCCAGCCGCATTTCTCCGGTTCACCACTCCTACACCCCGGGGGCCGCGCCTCCTCCCCTCCCCCGAGCTCTCCCCGGCGCTTTAAATAATGATATTTGCATGCAGGGAGCGATTCATAAATATGTCAGGGCCGGTGAAATATAGGCAACATTTCAAACTTTCTATTTAAAAAACATGAATTATGGCCGCGGAAAATGTGTTCCCATTTAAAGGCGATACGAAGTATTTGGTGTCTCGTCCCCGGGCCCATCCATCACGCAGACAATAAAGAGAGTTTTTCGCCCTGACACCCGCGATTTATGGGCGCCCTTCTCTGCCCTCATCACTCACCCGCCGCGGCCGGCCCGGCGACAGGCCCCGCGGAGAGATGGGCGGCCGCCCCTACTCCCCAGCCCCTCAGCCCCAGCCCCCCACCTGCGTGCACTGTGCTCCCGGCCAGCCCCCCACCCTCCCACAGCTGCTCCCACGGAGGGAAGGGCTCGCTCCAGGGAGTCAGGAGGGAGGCGGTGATGGTCTGGGCAGCCCGTGGGAGCGGGAACCTCGCTCGTCCTTTCACCTCTGAGCAAGCCCGTCTTGGGGCTCCGCTCTGCGCCCCAGCCCCGCCCGCCGACCGCAGCCGAGTTGGGAAGTTAGCGGTGCAGAGGCAACGGGAGGTTACTTACTCTCGGTCTCGAGGTGAGGGGAGCGAGCTGGGCAGATGATTTATTTTTTGTACTTTTTTTTTTTATTGTTTAGAGTTTTACATATGTCTCCTTCTCCCCTCCCTCCCCAAGAGGACTTCTGACCATTTCGCCTGGGGTAAGGCTAACGGGTCCCGAGCTGGGCGCGGACGCTTCTCCGAAAGCTCTTTCTGCAACTTTGAGAAAGCCATCTAACTCCTCCAGGGTGCAATCCCCGCCGACACAGCCTCGACGTCCGCGGCACCTTGGCGACTGTGTCGGCGAGAAATAAAGGAGAGGCACCTTCCCTAGCATTGCACCAGGGCCCGCGCTCTGCAGGCTGCCCCTCGCCCTCTTCGCCGACAGCCCACAGCCTCCGCCGAGTCTCCGCTGCAAACTTGCATCTAAGAAAGTTCGGGCTTCCTCTGCCGGCGAATTTGCTTTCAGTTTTCGCTGCGGGCGGGCTCGGCCTGGTGGGTTTCCGGAGCATCCACAAGCAGTGGGGGCTGCTAGGCACGGCGGGGCAGCGAGGGGTCCCTTGGCCCGAGGGGGCTGGTCGTCCAGCCTCCCCGGAAGCCCCCCCCCCACCTGCCGCCTGGCGAGCACGGGAGGCCACCTTGTGTCGCGTTGCAGGCCGGTGCGTCTGCAGACAGGAGAACCGGGAGGCGTCGCCTGCCCGCTGGCAGCGAGCTGGATTTATTCGGATAGAGGCAGTGTGCACACCGCAGCCAGAGAAATCCCATCGATTCTAAAAAATGACAAGGTGGAATTTATTGGATCAAGATTCATGTGTAGTGCAGGGAGATGAAAATTACACAAACAGCTTCATGTCCAGGGTGAGCGGAAAATTGCTCCTGGCTCAAGGGCATGTAACATAACATCTGAATATTTAGATCTTTGGAGGGATGTAAAATATTATTAAATTCTCAGTGTGTGCACATGCAGTTACGTTGGGAAAATTCTACAGCAAGGGTCTTTTTACAGCCCCTGCCTGGGCGTAATCTAGGCTTGAGATAATATTTATGTCCAGATAACCACACCGCCCAATATCGCCTATAGCCAGAGTGAGTTCCACATCATCGAGGGGTGCAGTATGTGTACCTCCTTAAACATTTGTGGCATGACAGAGGTAAGATACATTTAAGAAAAACAGGCGCGCAGGTAACTGGGCCATTGCATCCCTACGATATTTGTGTGGATAGAAATAAATATTCCTACCAGGTCGGCTGTGGAGAATACACACAAATTGAGGGGCTTCGGAAACCGGGGGTTGGGGGTCACGGGTCCTGCATCTCTGGCGCCCAGCCCCCCGAGGGGGGCTCAGACTCCACTCCCATATGACTGATGGGAGAAGCTGGGCCCAGACCACCTGTACTGTCCCGCCGTGGGACAGCGAAGTGGGGTTCCCAGATTCATGAGCAGTGAGGGAGCCTTCCTTGGGCTCCGGAACCTGGCTTTTAGGATAGCAGGGCCTGGGGGCCTATGGGCAGCCCTTCCCCCTCAAAATATTTGAACCACCTCTGAATTCTAGTTCCACTGGGCTAGGGCAGTGGCCTTTGGGGCCCATGGATTTGGAGCTAGCCTGTGGAAAGGGGAGGGGGGTCGCAGAGAGAAAAGCCAGAGAACACCTGAAGGAAGGCCATGATCTCACTCCCAGGAGGTTACCAAGACCACCTGGCCCCCAAGGGCCAGTGTGAAGCCACAGAAGCAGTTGTCTGGGTGTATTTACTTCTGACATGCTAGGTACCCCTGCACACGATCCCATCGGTGCCGAGGCCAGATGCCTGGTGGGTCTCCGAGTATTTGCAACAGCCCAGGCAATGCCGTCAGCGAGGCCAGAGTCATTGCAGCAGTGACATTTCCAAGACCAGATTCTAATTCCACAATGAATGGGGTGCTCGCAACTTTGTCCACCCAAGTCACTGCCCTGGTCTTTATTTTCTCACCCCTCCAAATGCAACCAACCCTTAAACAGACACAGACTTCTTGAGAGCCCCTGTTTGAGGGAAAATTAGAAAGGAGTTGGTCACGAGTTCCTGGAAATTGCACACTCTCGTGAGGCAGCCCTGGCTCAGAGGAAGAACCCGGGCCCTGAGAAGGCCCTTCTCCAGAGAGTGGGACTGCATACCTAGAAGAGGGAGAGGATAGGAAATATTCCTTGGCAGGGAAAAAGGAAGCAGCGGGGAAGAGAAGGAGAGATTAGGGAGAGGAGAGGAGAGGAGAGGAGAGGAGAGGAGAGGAGAGGGAGGAGAGGAGAGGAGAGGAGAGAGAGAGAGAGAGAGAGAGAGAGAGAGAGAGAGAGAGAGAGAGAGAAGATTGGGGGGGGGTAAGGGGGAGAAAGCCAGGGGAGGAGAACGGAGAAGAGTTCAGGCCCTGTGGAGACTGGGGAACCGGACAGGCTTTGGTTTCGGCAAGGTGGGTACCTTCAAGTTCTCCAGAAGAGGAAAGGCCACCGGAACCTCCCCCTACCAGCCCTGGAATCTAGGCCCCGCTCATGGTCTGGAGGGTCAGCCCTGAGTCCCTTGGCCTCCACGCGCTCCCTTCTCTCCCCCCTCCTCCGGGACCACAGGGCAGGGCCCTGCTTGGGGGGGGGGGGGGGGCGCCGGTCCGGGACTCTTTGGGCGCTCTGGGCCGGGCTTTCCAGCTCGCCGGGCCTGACCTGTCAGGCGGATTATCTTCGAGGGAGATTAATAGGGGAGGCGGGCTGCAATAATAATCGTTTTGTTTGATGTGACAACTCTGATAGGCGTTGATTTACTTACAAACTGATAGGCTTTTAATTGAGCGCCTCCGCCGAGCCCGAGATGAAAGGGAAGCCGCAGTGAAAGGCGGCCCGCCTGCCCTCCGGCCTCAATACTGATTAGCCATCTCGACAGTGAATAGTTCAAGGCATTTTCAAACTTTTTTTGCCTCCACTCTCTCTCCTTCTTTCTCCTCCCGCCCCCCTCTCCTCGGGTATCTGCCATGCCCACTCCTTTTTCAGAGGAGACAAATCATTTCCATTGTGTGCAAATAAAATCCACAGGACATCCACGCCAATCGCCGCTGGGGGTGGAGGCATTAGGCCTAGCGCCGAGTAATTAATAAACCCCCACGGGCCCGCTGGCCTAGGAGGATTGGGCCTCCGGGCGAGAGGAGCCTGCTCAGATCCCCCCAAAGCCCTGCTCAGATCCTCCTGAGAGCTCAGCGAAGGCCTGGGTTTGGGGAACCCAGCCGCCTGGGTTTGGGGAAGGGTGAGTGCGCACGGACCTGCAGGCCTGTGGAAGGGTGACCCGCTCCGAGGGACCCAGGGGCCACCCTCTGGTTTCCCAAGCTCTGGGTGCCGGGGGCTGCCGCACCCAGTTCCAGAAGAGGGAAGGAACTGAATGGAGGGGGGTAGGCACTCCCGTGTTCCCTTCCAGCTATGGCCACCGCCCTTAGCACTCAGTGTCTGGGCCCGGAGGGGAGGCCTGGGACACCCGGCTGGGAGCTCCACAGCGGATCCAGGCTGGCACCTCGACAGCCTTGCACTCAGCGGCACAGACACGCACACACCCGCCCCGAAGGACACGGCGACTTCACAAAGCACTGCTCTTCCCAGGCAGTTTGGGACCAACTGGGACTTGCTCCCCAAAGGTGATCAAGACAACCTTCCCAGTCTTGCCGCCCGCCCCCCAACTCGCTTCCTCGGTGCTCGAAGACAGACCCTCCAACCCCCCTGAACGCAGGTGTGTCCTTACACCCTCACGCACGCACATACTCACACCAACAAACACACTCCACCTCACTCGCCTCTTCAAAGTATCTTTAGCCAAGTTGCCATCCCATGGAGTTTGCCAACCTGAAGAATCAAGGGATAAGATTAAAAACGCAGAAAAAGAAAGCCTACAACAAAATTCTCAAACTCACCCCGAAAAGTACCTGTTCGGAGTGGGAGGCAGAGGCAAAAACGGGGGGAAGAGGGGAACGGGATGGGTACAGAGGAGGGGGCGAGCGCCGCGGAGGGCAGGTCCGAAACCCGCCCCGAGAGTGTGCGGGACTCTACCCGCCCTGAGAGCGCGGGGGACCCCGGCGTCCGCCCGGCCTCCGCCCCCCCTCTTGGGACCGCCCGGCTCCCTGCGCTCCCGGCCCCGCCATGTATCAAAAGGATTGACAACAAAAGAAGAGTCGGGGCGGAAAAGGGGGGGAGACTCAAAATCTTCCAAGTCCTTCCGCGGAAGGGTAGGGGGTTCTCCTCCCGCCCCCGACCCCCTTTCCAATATCTGCGACTTTCTGAAGGTGACCCCCGGACTCGATCCAGATGCGATCAAAGCCCTGACAACGCACCCGGCGGCACAGTCATGCACACACACGCGTGTACGCAGAACCAGGTACACGGACACACGCACAGCGCCTCCCCTCTTGCTCCCAAACAGCCGAGTGACGATGCAAATCGAGGGGAACGCAGCAGCTCTGCTCCGCTTCCCCGGAAGAGCCCGCGTTCCCACAGGCGGCCTCCCCGCCCTCTTCGCTCCTTCGCTCCTTCCCTCTGCTCCCCCAGCGCAGGGCAGTGCCGGCTACGCGGTCCACGGATTCGGAGTAACCCCGCTGCCAAGCCCGCTAGCATGGAGCGCAGTGGAGAAGGATTGGGGAAGCGGCCAGAGTCTCCCTCCCTGATACACCCATGGCCAGGCCTCTTCCTCGCAGCCTTTCAGCCCTAACCACCACCCCTACTCCCCCACCTCGGGGTTCAAAGAATTGAGAGGGCTACCCCACCATGGACCGCCGGGACTCCAGGTCACACTGGTGATGGGGGCTTAGGAAGAAGTCGCCCCGTTTGGGATCAGGGCCCTACGGAGGGTGGGATGGTCCGCAGCAGGCTAGCAGCCTGGCACCCGCACACTGCGTGCCCCCCAGGGAATGGATATTCCAGGGGAGAGAGAGAGAGGGAAAAAAAATCTCGGATCTCAGATATCCCCGCTGCCCGTCGGGTACCAGAAGCCGCTCCGAACTCCGAGGCCCCAACAGACCCAAGTCCCCAAACGTGGGGAGGGAGTGTGTCTGCCTCTGACAGCCGGAGGGGTGAGGCGCGTGCCCCGGGCCTCACATCCCTCTCCGCACCCTGCCTGGCCGCACCTGCGCACTTTCCCCTCCCTGTTCATCTTTCCTGCCGCCAAGCGCCTCCCTCCCCTCTTTCCTTCTCTTTCCTCAGAGCCCCCATCCCCTCTCGTCCCCGGAGGCTGCTCCCCTTTCCTCCTCCTCCTCCGGCTTCCCCTGGATCTCTTCCTTCCTCTCCGTCTCTTTCTCTCTCTCCCTTCTTTTTTCCCCTTCCAGTCGCACCCGCCTTGTAATCAGCAACAAAAGCTGACATAAATCACGGGCGGATTGACAAGAGCTGACAAATAACTGATTGATTGCGGTCGAGGAACATTGACAATTGATGGAGGGGTGGAGATGCCCAGAGAACTTGGCGGGGGAGAAGGGGGGGCCGGGTAGGAGAGAGAGGAGAGGGTGGCAGGGCAGAGTAAGAAGTGGGGGCTGAGTGTGAAACAGAGGAACCATGTGACCCCGGGCCCTGCCCCAATCTGCGAGTCCCCGGGCGTCACGTGGCCGCGGAGGGCGGGGAGCCCGGCGCACAACTCCGAGACAAACCGCCGCCGCTGCCCACCGAGCTTCTGGTTTCTCCGCCGCCGAATCCCGGGAAATCAAATCGGGCGGGCGGACTTCCTCCAGCAGCCCGCTCCCCAACCCTTCCTTACCCTGGCCGCGCCGCGAGAGACATTTCCATTACACAGGAGGAGAGGCTATTTGGTGTTCGAGGCCCCTGGGCGCCCCTGGCACTGACAGTCCGGCTGTTGGTCCAGCGTCTGCCGGTGCTCCGATCCAACGCCACCACCTCCGTCCGTTCGTCACATGCACCTTCCTGCAAAAGGTTTCAGTTTATTTTCGAGCTGGGAAAAAAGGAAGGACGACAGGAAGAGGGGAGAAAAAAAAGAGGGAGGCGGCAGATAGCAAACGTAGAATAATAAAAGTCCAGCTACCCTTCGGATCGAAATCGAGGGAGGGGACTAGCGGCGGAGGTGGGGGGCTGGGGGCGGCGAGCTGGGAGCTGCCCATTAAAACCGGCGCTGGGAGTCCGGGCCGCGGCGGCGGCGGCGGCGGCGCGGGACGCGTCACATCCCCTTGACCCTCCAATCACCTCGGGCTCCCATTTGATTGGAAGGCGGCAAAGGCTTTCATCTCCCCCTCGGTGCAGCTGCTTTGGAAGTGAGTTTCCTCGCCAGAGCCCCGGCTGGACAGGCGGCGGCTCGCACACACCGCAGAGAGCAGCGCCCACGCCGGGCCGCGAGCGCGCAGCGCAGGGGCACAGCCCGGGGCGGACACGGCGAGCCCCCCGGCGGTCCTGCAGTCCCGCCGGCTCCAGCCGATCGGCCACGGCTCCGCTGCCAGCCGCCCGGGATTATTCGCTTCTGGCTCCGGCGGCAGCGGAGAAGGCAGCGCGCTGGGCGCTGGTGGCCGCCGCGCCAGCTCCTCCTCCTCCTCCTCCCGCTGCTGCGGCTCCCGCTCCCCGGGCGAGCGCGCAGCCCCGAGCCCGCCCCGCGCCTCCCGGAGCCCGCCCCCCGCTGCTCCCATGCGCGCGGGAGGGTCATGAGCACAGCGCCCTCGCTTTCTGCCCTGAGAAACAGTAAGCACAGCGGCGGCGGCGGCGCGGACCCGGCCTGGACCAGCGCGCTCTCTGGAAATAGCTGCGGCCCCGGCCCCGGCTCGTCCCCGGCCGGCAGCACCAAACCTTTTGTGCACGCTGTGCCCCCTTCGGACCCTCTCCGCCAGGCCAACCGGCTGCCCATCAAGGTGCTGAAGATGCTGACCGCAAGGACTGGCCACATTTTGCACCCCGAGTACCTGCAGCCCCTGCCCTCCACGCCCGTCAGCCCCATCGAGGTAAGGACCCTCTCCCCGGGATCGCGCTGGGACGGTGACCACCATCCTGGCTTTCGCATCACGGAATTTCTCTTGGGATCTGGGGCGTGCAAGTTGGGGGTGTAAGGGGTGGGGGTCGAAGTGATTCAGCTCCCGGGTGGGAAGAGAGAAGAGGGCTCCCGCACCTTCAAACTAGGGCGGAGGTAACCTGGGGTGTGACTGTGAGCGGGCAAGGCACCCAAACTTGTTCTTCCCTTTGAGATGGAAGCGCCTAGCCCGACCCAGGCCCGCTTTCTGCCCAGACAACGGACGGGAGCCCAAAATAGGGCTCTGAAGTCGCAGTCCTCAGGTTCCCCTGAAGCTGGTACACAGCTTCTGGGGCGCAAACCTCCTGAGCCCTTACTCTGGAGAATTAGGGATGGGGTGAGGGTAGGGGGACGTACAGTTCTGGGTCTGGGAGTCAGAAACCAAAACATTTAGTGGATTTAAAACAAACAAACAAACAAACAAACACACCCAGTTTAGCGCTTAGCAAGGGCATGGAAGGCCCAGTTTGGGGGAGAGGGGTGTCTGCTACCTTTCTCAAGGACGAGTGTGTGCGTGTGTGTGTGTGTGTGTGTGTGTGTGTGTGTGTACAGTGTGTGTGGGTGTGTGTGTGTGTGTGTGTGCAGGGGATGCCGCCTGGCATTGAGCCTCCGGGTTAGGAGGATCTTCGCGGCGGCGGTGGCGGCGGTAGTGGAGGGGCGTTTGGATCCTAGAAGCCAGGGTTCTAAAGGATCTCCCCTTCTTTCTTTTTGTGCCCCCCCCCCACCTCACCCCACCCCCCAATGACCCCGCAGCTGGATGCGAAGAAGAGCCCGCTGGCGCTGCTGGCGCAGACCTGCTCACAGATCGGGAAGCCCGACCCCTCGCCCTCCTCCAAACTCTCCTCCGTCGCCTCCACCGGGGGCGGCGCGGGCGGTGCCGGCGGCGCCGGGAGCGACAAGGACGGCAAGCCGGGGCCCCTCAAGCTGAGCGACATCGGCGTGGAGGACAAGTCGAGCTTCAAGCCGTACTCCAAGCCCGGCTCGGATAAGAAGGAGCCGGGAGGCGGCGGCGGCGGGGGCGGCGGCGGCGGCGGGGGGGTGTCGGCGGAGAAGTCCGGATTCCGAGTCCCGAGCGCCACCTGCCAGCCGTTCACGCCCAGGACAGGCAGCCCCAGCTCCAGCGCCTCGGCCTGCTCGCCGGGAGGCATGTTGCCTTCGGCCGGGGGCGGCCCGGAGGGCAAGGACTTGGACAAGAAGGACCCGGACGCGGGCGGCGGCGGAGGAGGCGGCGGCAAGGGCTCCGGGGGCGCCTCGGCCGAAGGGGCGCCCGCCGGGCTGGCGGCTCACGGCCGGATTAGCTGCGGCGGCGGCGGCGGCGGGATGAACGTGGACGTGAACCAGCACCCAGACGGGGGCCCCGGGGGCAAGGCTCTGGGCTCGGACTGCGGCGGCGGCTCGTCCGGCTCCAGCTCCGGCTCGGGCCCCAGCGCGCCCGCCGCCTCCTCGGTGCTGAGCTCCGGGCTGGTGGCCCCAGTGTCGCCCTACAAGCCGGGCCAGACGGTGTTCCCGCTGCCTCCCGCGGGCATGACCTACCCGGGCAGCCTGGCGGGGGCCTACGCCGGCTACCCGCCCCAGTTCCTGCCGCACGGCGTGGCCCTGGACCCCACCAAGCCGGGCAGCCTGGTGGGCGCGCAGCTGGCGGCGGCCGCGGCGGGCTCCCTGGGCTGCAGCAAGCCGGCGGGCTCCAGCCCCCTGGCCGGGGCGTCGCCGCCCTCGGTGATGACGGCCAGCCTGTGCCGGGACCCATACTGCCTGAGCTACCACTGCGCCAGCCACCTGGCGGGGGCCGCGGCCGCCAGCGCTTCGTGCGCCCACGACCCGGCGGCCGCGGCGGCGGCGCTCAAGTCCGGGTACCCGCTGGTGTACCCCGCGCACCCGCTGCACGGCGTGCACTCGTCGCTGACGGCCGCCGGGGCCACGCCGCCCTCCCTGGCCGGCCACCCCCTCTACCCCTACGGCTTCATGCTCCCCAACGACCCACTGCCCCACATCTGCAACTGGGTGTCGGCGAACGGGCCGTGCGACAAGCGCTTCGCCACGTCCGAAGAGCTGCTGAGCCACTTGCGGACCCACACGGCCTTCCCGGGGACGGACAAACTGCTGTCGGGCTACCCCAGCTCGTCCTCGCTGGCCAGCGCCGCGGCGGCCGCCATGGCCTGCCACATGCACATCCCCACGTCGTCTGGGGCGCCGGGCAGCCCGGGGGCGCTGGCGCTGCGCAGCCCGCACCACGCGCTGGGACTCAGCAGCCGATACCACCCCTACTCCAAGAGCCCGCTGCCCACCCCCGGCGCGCCCGTGCCCGTGCCCGCGGCCACCGGACCCTACTACTCCCCCTACGCCCTCTACGGACAGAGACTGACCACCGCCTCGGCGCTGGGCTACCAGTGAGGGGGGCGCGGGGCGAGCACCACCGGAGAGAAAGGAAGGAGCTGGGGGGAGGGGAGGAGCCCCGGGAGGGGCGGGAACCAACCGGGGGAGAAGCTACTGTCACCCTCGCGTGTGGGGATGACCCGGGCCGGGAAAGGAAACACTATAGAGACGCCCACCCGTATCTGTCTGCTCCCTGCCTCCCCTTCCCACCCAAACTTTATAAAAGTTGGAGAAAAAAAAATATCATTTGACTTTTTATAGAAAAAAGAAGGAAAAAAATAATTGAGAAAGTGTTCATCGGAGGACTTGCATCGGTGGACACTGGTATTTATTTATGTTAGCTCCAAGCGGACCCATGGTTCTAAAGTGCATTATTTAGTTCGAGCTCCGTAGATAAAAAAATAAATAAAAATTAAAAAAAGGAAGAGGGGGGAAATGAGAAAGGAAGAGGGGGATTTAAAAATGAAAAAAAACGAACCCTCCCGACCCTTGTAGATTATAAATAAACACAAAAACCACCACAACTAGAGGTCTTCTCTTTAATGTTACTTTGAAATTGCTATGATTGTATTGTACGTTCTTATTTAATGTCTGATTGAAACACACAACTTACATGCATGTTTGTTACAAAAAAAATGAAAAAACGAAAACAAAACAAGTCACGATTTGTCAGCTCTGATTTCAAATTGCAATTATTTTTAAGGTGTATACCATTGGAAGAGAATGGGTATTTTTTTGTATGTATTCTGGAAGAAAACAACAAAAAAAAAGGAAAAACAATTCTATTCCAAAACCTCATTTGCCTTATTTTGTTCTTTAAAAGGAACACTTAACTATTTTTAATTTTTAAGTACACCCGCTGAAAAGGGGACAAGTAAGGTTTACGTCATGTACTAAAATAATAGACAATGTATCGCTTTAAAGATTAAAATTCCGTATATTTGATGTATTAAAAGGTTTTACTTCTTATCTTTTTTATTTTTATTTTTATGTTTTTGGTGAAAGAGAAAGAAGAGCAAAGGCAGCCACGGTGGGCTCCCTGGGCCTCGTGCCCACCCTGCCCAGGACCGCGCGGTTTCGATTGTTCTGCTGCGATTTTCCGGGAGAGGCAAAGGCTTCGGAAGGGCTGGCCCGCGGAGGGCTCGGTCTTAGGGAAAAATGTTTTTCAAGAAGGGACTTAACCACCTGAAAATATCTTGTCCTTAGCTATATCGCTCGTTTCGTTTTCCTCTTTTTCTCCTAGCAGCCTGCTTATTAAAAGTGAAAGAAAATGATTTTTTAAACCTTTCCTCTTGAGCTTTTTAGGACTTGGGGTTTCGTTTTGAACAGAGAGCACCGCAGGCCACGACTCGCCCGGAGTCCGGACGCAGGGGAGGTGCGGTGCTCGGCCCTCGGTCCCCTCTTTGCTCCCCAAGCTTCTCGGGTCCGGGCCGCGGCCGGGACGGGCTGGGGGACCGGAGCCTCGGGAACTTGTTTCCCGGGGTTAACGGGGTTCGGGAGAGCGCGCCGAAACCCTGCCATCTCTCAGGGGGAAAGTGATCTTGCTGTCCCTTTCCTCTTCTGGCTGCCCAGGGCCAGAGATGGCCGCCAGCCGATCCCCCCAGACACCCCCTTCCACCCAGCACCTCCCCTCCCCCGGCTCTTTCCTCTCCGGAGCCCGGACCCCCGGCTCGCCGGCGCCGAGGCTGTCCTTCCGCGTCCCGATCCCTCTGCGGCCGGTGCTCTGTCCGGGTCTGGGCCGCAGGAGAGGGCGCCGGGGCAGGGGACCCGGAAGCCCCTTCCAACTCCACCCCGGCAGGGTCCTGGCCGTCCCTCTCGGCCTCGCGGGGGCGGCCCGGTGGGCGCCGAGGGCCATGCTGGGCTGAGCGCTGCGCCCCGCAAAGCCGCGGGGGACCCTCCGTCCGGCCCGGGTCCCCGCGGCGCGCCGCTCCCTGCTCCCCGGTGTGGTCGGCGGGACCGGGCTGCCTGGAGCGCCCGTGGATCCGCGCAGAGAGGAGCCCTAACCTTTTCTTTGGGGGGCTGGGAAGAGAGGGGGGTGCGGTTTGGGACACGCGCTCCCCAACCCCCTTCCTGCTCACAAACACACGCTCACACCCAGGCCTGGGGTGACTGGTCTCCTGGCTGTTTGGGCGCCTTTGCTCGGATCCCGGCACCAGGGCGCCGTGACGCTGAGCGCGCACCGAACCCCCTCTCCCCAGGGTCAGGCCGCCCTGGGTTCCCCAGCCTCCGGCCTTCCCCGCGCCAACCTCCCCCTGCGGCCTCGGGAGGCTCCCGCCGCCGCGCAGAGGCCGTCCCAGGCCTCGGGCCTCGCTCGGTCAGGCGATCGCGCCGCTCCTGCCGCCATTGGCGCGGGGGTGGGGGTTTGGAGAGTCTCCATCCTCCTCCCAGCGCCAGCCTCCCGGCTCCGGGCCTTTCTCCCCGGGTGGCGCGCACAGCGGGCCCGGCGACCTTAGCCGCGGGGAGCTGCCGGGCCCCCGCCAGGGAGGACTGAGCGGAGACCCGGGCTCCGACGCCGCGACCCCGGGGAGGGCAGCCCCTGGCGCCTCGGACCCTGCAGCCTGGGCTCCCGACTCCGGAAGAGGATCCGGGCCGGCGGTGTCCGGGAAGCCCCCGGCGCCCATCCCACTCTGGTCCAGCTAAGAGAGGGGTTGGGTGCAGCCTGGCGGGGCCTGGATCCTCTGGAACTCCGGCCTTTGGAGGCTCTCAGACAGACACCACCCTCCTGCGCAGCGGGAGGGAGGGCGTTCGAGGGGGTGGTGCGGCCCAAATCGCGACCGGAGCTCGGGACAGGGAAAGCCAGGCCCCGCTCACCCTTCCCAGCACCAGCCACGCGCCGCTGGCCACTCTGCTCCACAGGCTTTGCCCTCCTTCGTCCTCACACTGGGCTCCCGAGGCCACCACCTCGACCGCCAGTGCCCGCTAGAAATTGTCCAGCCCTAGAATGTCAGGTCTGGGACTGGCAGGGAGAGAACCAACGGGGCAGGTGTGTGCCTTTGTACCAACTCATAGTATTTGATTACCAAAACTCAAAACCAAAACGCCTTGACATTTTAATGAGACCTCCTTCCGGCAGAAACTATTCAGAGGCAGCAAGATTTCAGAGCTGGACACCGGGCACTGGGAGGAGAGTGCGTCCCCCGACGTGGTGGACGGAGCTGAGTCACCCTGAGCGCTGGGTTAGAGACAGAAGGTGGCAATATTTTTTGCTTTGGGTCCGAGTCGGGGTGCGCGCACCCTCGGGGAGCAAATGCGCCTCGGCGGTGCGCCCCGATTTCTCTCTGGCTTTCTTCAGAACTGCGGCGGGATTCCCAGCCCACCGGCCTGCTGCTGCTGCTGCTGCTGCTGCTGCTGCTGCTGCTGATCCCGCAGCGGAGCGCGGCGTCTCCGCCAGGCGGCGCTGCGGAGCGGAAAGATAGGTAGATCTTTGGCCAGTGCGCAGGGTGCCAAGATGGTCATCCTAAGACCCGGCGCCTCCCTCTTCTCCTTCATTAGGCTTTGGAGCGGTGTCTGAGAGTCTCCTCCTCGTAACTACTCGTTCCTCTCCTGCAGCGAACGATGCCCTCTGTGCTTCTCCACCTGCTCTAGCTTCTGCTGTTGTGTTTCTCTTGCTTTCTTTCCCTATTCCCAGAGGAGGTGGCCCAGGTGTCACGGACCCCTCCCCAATTCTGGGAGTTCCCACCGCCACCCTGGAGGTTCCAGCAGGTCACCTTGTCTGTCAGACGAGGACCCCACACAGGCATGCATTCATTCGTTCTCACCCGCTGATTATTTCCTAGGGCTTTCCCCTTACCAAGCCATATCGCTTTACCAGCCCCTGACACGGATGGGGAAACGGAGACTACGTTCTGGAAGCCAGGAGCAAGGCCAGCAGACAGAGCCCACGCCTTTCTCTCCATTCAGTCTCTGCCCCCATCTGTACCTCTGGTCAGCAGAGTAAACCTGGTGTCTTTGTGCTGGGTGACCTTTAAGCCGTAAGGAAAGGCAGAGAGAAAAAAGGGGGGCCTTCTGGTTGATGAACGACCTGTGCTTTGAAAAAGGGTAAAAGTTGCCCGGAAGGTGAGGCATGTCCCGGAGAGGCCCTCTGATGGCCTCGTCTGAACAGAGTGGCTTGGAGTTCCTCACCGCGGTGGCTGGAGGCCTAGTCATGCTCAGAGTGACTGTAGAACTCAGGCAGACTTGTTATGGACTCCAGCCCACTTTATCCTATATTATCCCATTTAAACTTCACAATTCCATGAAGCCATTCGAATATTTACTTTATATAGAAGAGGAAACTGAGGCTCAGCAAGGGAATGGGGGTAGCTTGAGGTCACACACCTCGTCAGAGGTGGAGTTGATGCAGAGAGCCTCATCTTGCTGCTCTCAGTTGAGGAGATTTTAAAGCATAATAATGCTTGGACATAATTTTGTTGTTGTTTACGTTTTCAGTGTTATTGTTATTATTATTTTACCTTTCATTCTAGAGATTTTCAAACATATGCAGATGAGGTCACCCGCCGAAATAGGCTATAGAGAAAATGGTATAACAGGCCCTCCATAAGCAGTGGTCAGCAAACTCAGTCAACAGAGCCAAAAATCAGCAATACAAAGATTGAAATTTCTTTTGAGAGCCTCGAAGTTTCAATCACACTGTATGTGTGTGCACGCACGTGGTATTTTGTAGAAGAGCCACATTCAAGGGGCCAAAGAGCCGCCCGCATGTGGCTCGCGAGCCGCAGTTTGCCGACCACTGGCCTAGCCTCAACAGTTATCAGCTCATAGCCAACCTTATTTCCTTTCCATCCCCTCCAACTTGCTTCCCCACTTTATTTTGAAGAGAATACAGACATTGTATCATTTCTCACTTCCTCAGATGTCTGTCACTTCCAGCTGAGGTCTGAACCCATCCAGGGCGTATCCCTCTGTGCTGCCCTGAGGCTTGCTGAGGAGAGTTTGGTGAGTGCACAGCAGAGCTGAGACTGGCTTCCATTTCTATCAGACTCAGCTCCCAGGCACTTCACCCAATGCTGTGCTGGGGATCCCCCAGAAGCCCCAGGGTGAGTGAGCCCTCTCCACCAGTGTGACCCCAGGGCTCGCCCAAGAGGCCTCTGGGTGGTAAAACGACAGGAGAGGCAGCAGTGCCTGAGAGGGACACCCAGAGCACCAGGGGCATTCTGAGAGTGAGCACTACTTAAAGCCACACGTTGTAGTGAAAAGAGTACACATTTGGGGATGGGCTGATCTAAATCGAGAGTCAGCTCCACCACTGGCTCAACTCTGGGCCTCAGTTTTCTCATCTGTAAAATGGAGTCACTGATATTAACCCAACAGTGATGTCAAGAGAGGCTCAAATGGAATAATAAATGTGTAAATGCTCTACCTACTGTCCGGCCTTTACTGGCTCTTAATAAGGACAGATTTATTTCCTCCTCCTCCTCCTCCTTTTTTTTTTTTTTTTTTTTTTTTTTTTTTTTTTTTTTTTTTTTTTTTTTGCCAAAGTCTCATTTCATTATGAGAAGTGCTCTTATTTCAGAACCAACCATGACCTCCCAGGCTCAGATTCTCACTCTACAACCTGGTCATCAGAGTGCCCATAATTATGGTTTATCTTCCAATCTGGCCCCTCTTTGCCTGTCCTACCTTGCATCTCACCAATATTCACAGTTGAGATCCACGGCCAGCCCCTAGCCCCTAGATACCTTGGTTAGTGGCGCTCGTCGCCTGCTCCTTCCTTAGAATGCCTTCCTCCCAACCCTTCCCTCAAACATCTCTTCCAGGAAGCCCTCCAGGCTTTCCCCCACCGCATGCTGATCTTTCCCTCACTTTGCGTTCCTTCATCACTTAGTGCAAAGGCAGATGGTAGAGATATTAAAAACCACTGGATTAGGGATGAGGATACTTGGGTTTGAGTAGTTCCTCTTCACAGCTGTGTGGCCATGGACAACCCAATTAAGGTCTCTATGAAACTTGTCTTCAAAACTGATATAGAA